AGGGTTGTGTCATCTGCATAACGCAGGTTGCTGACGATTCTTCCACCAATCCTGATGCCACATTCCTCCTCGTACAGCCCAGGGTCTCCGATGATTGGTTATGCATACAGATTGAACAGGTATGGAGACAAAATACATCCCTGACGGACCCCTTTCTTGATTTTGAGCCATCCAGTATCTCCCTGCTCTGTTTTGACGACTGCCTCGTGGTCCAAGTATAGGTTTCGCATTATCACAATCAAATGTTCTGGGATTCCCATTCTTCTCAGAGTCAGCCACAGCTTGTTGTGATCCACACAGTCAAAAGCCTTAGCATAGTCAATGAAGCACAGATAGACATTCTTCTGGTATTTTCTGCTTTCTGCCAAGATCCGTCTTACATTAGCTATAATATCCCTAGTACCATGACCTCTTCTAAATGCAGCCTGCACATCTGGCATTTCTCTGTTGACATATTTTTTCAAACGTTTTAATATAATGTAATGTAATGTAATGTAATGTAATGTAATGTAATGTAATGTAATGTAATGTAATGTAATGTAGTGAACTTTGGTGGCCTAGTAGTAAGAAGCTGCTCTGCAATCTCAAAGGCATGAGGTTCAAATCCACTGGCTACTCCAGGGAAGAAAGATGGGAAATTAACTGCCCATCTGATTAACTGCCTCTGAAAACCCACCAGAGTCAGCTGTACATTCGTTCTTACTTGACGGTACATAACTACAATAATGGAATAAATTCCATTAACTACTACAGGAAAATAAAAGTTAAAACGTAATAATTGTATATCCTGTCACCTCCAGTCTTATTCCATATCCTGTCTTTTATAAACTGCTAGAATAAAGTTTAGTGGATATTACATTTTGTCAGAGATTGTGTGGATAGCACAGGATAAGGACAGGTTTCAGATATGTCATTCAAAGAGTTGTGCTGAGATGTGCTTGACTTGACAAACACCTAACTGACCAAACACCAATACCACTATGACAAAGGATAGTGTTAGACAACATTCTCAGTGTGCATGCAATCCATTCAAAATTTAATTTATTTCATAACAGTAACTCATAAAGCCTGTTTTTCTTGTCTGAAACACTGTGCTCTGCTGCAGAAGGAGAGGCAATCAAGATCCAATTTGACGGTACACACACACAAAATAATAAAATTTTAAAAAGGAGTCATACAAAATTTTGTTGTTGTTATGTGCCATCAAGTCATTTTCGACTCATAACAACCCTGTGTGCAACAGCCCTAAATCCTGCACTGTCCTGTGCCAATCACACTGTCTCCAACACACTCACCCTAATTTCCCCAGTCACTGAATCAATCCATTTCACAGAGGGTTTTCCTCTCCTGCGCTGTCCCTCCACCCTCACTAGCATATTGTCCCTCTCCAAGGACTGGTCCTTCCTTGCAACATGTCCAAAGTATGTCAGACAAAGCCTGAGAAACCTTGCCTCCAAGGAGCAGCCCTATTTAACCTCCTCCGGGAGGAACCTGTTTGTTTTCTTAGCAGTCCATGGTACATTCAGTACTCTTCTCCAGCACCACAGCTCAAAGACATCAATTCTCCTTCTATCCTCCTTAGTCATTGTCCAATTCTCTGATGCATAACAAGTGATTGCAAAGACTATTGCCTGTATCAGGTATACCTTAGTCTCCAGAGTAACACCATTGCTCTTTAGAATTTTGGTGAGGTCCCCAACATCAGACTTTCCCATTGCAATGCATCTTTTAATTTTCCGGTTTCTGATGCCAAGAGTGTTGCCTGTGGAACAAAGCAAACTAAAGCTGTGAACAATCTCAGTCTCTTCACCATAGGCTCTTGCTCATACATTGTTTCACGAAATTCTTCTGTGTTTGCCAATTCCTTTAGAAACAGTTAGTATATTCTTTCCATCTTCTTTTAATATTACCTGGATCATTTAATATTCTGCCTAAAGCATCGTTGATTATGGAAACTCGAGGTTTGAATTTGTTCTTCAGTTTCTTGAGCTTAAGAAATGCTGAGCAAGTTTCGCCCTTTTATTTTCTGACTCCAGTTCCTTGCACATTCCATTGTAATATTTTACTTTTCAAATCTTCTGTTCAGGTCTTCAGTATCTTGAATTTTTTCTTCTGTTTTGGTTTCTCTGCGCTCCAGTGCAATATTCAGAGTTTCTTCTGACATCCATTTTGGTCTTTTCTTCCTCCTCTGTCTTTGTATGATACTCTTGATATCCTCCCACAACTCATCTGGTCTTCGCTCATTAGTGTTCAAGGCCTCCAACCTGTTCCTGAGATGGTCCTGAAATTCAGGTGGAATAGACTCAAAGTCATACTTTGGTTTCCGTGGATTCAGTTTCATTTTCCTTAGCTTCAGCTGGAACGTGCATATGAGTAGTTGGTGGTCTGTTCCACAATCAGCTCCTGGCCTAGTTTTCACAGCAGATATTGATCTTCTCCAGCGGTTCTTTCCACAGATGTAGTCTATCCTATTCCTATGCATACCATCAGGTGAAATCCATGTGTATAACCTTCATTTATGTTTCTTATAAAACATATATGCAATGAATAAGTCATTGTATAAAATTCAATCATTCTATCTCCAGATTCATTTCTGTCACTGAGTCCATGTTTTCCAACTACTGATTCTTCTTCTCTGTTACCAACCTTTGCATTCCAGTCACCCATTATTATTAATACATCTTGATTGCATGTTCGATTGATTTTCGACTGTAAAAGTTGTTAGAAATCTTCTATTTCCTCTTCTTTAGTTCTGGTTGTTGGTGTATACATCTGAATAATAGTTTTATTCACTGGGCTTCCTTGTATGCATATGGATATTATCCTGTCACTCACAGTATTGTCTTTCAAGACATTTCTAGAAATGACTTAACTGTGAAAGCAACCCGTTTTTCCTCACCTTTCGGTCTCCGCAATAATATATCATATGATATGCCCCAAGCCAGTCCATTTCATCTCACCAATATCTGTTGTTGTTGTTATGTGCCATCGAGTCGTTTCCGACTCATAGCACCAATATCTAGGATGTCAATATTTATGTATTCCATTTTTTCCTTAACAATATCTGATTTTCCTACATTCATGGGTCTCATATTCCATGTTCCAACCACTAGTGTCTGCTTACAACTGTTACTCTTCCTTTGTATTTCTATACTTGAAAGTGCCACCTCAGTTGCCTCATTAGTCTATGTGTGTTTTCTTGTACATAGGGTGTTCAGAGCCCTGCTATTTCAGAAGTGGATATGCAAATAAATTCCATAGATAAATGTTTAATTCACCTGCATATAGCAATTTTTCTGCCCATTACTCAAACCAGGTAAAAATGTCCTTTTCCCGTGCAAAATTTTCTTTTTATCTTGTCAATTTGTTTTTAATATTTCAATGTATTAAGACTATTTCACTAGGTTAAATAGTCAACTCAAGAGTTTAGATGTTTGTAGTCAAGTATTTAGTATATAGATTTGTACCACAGAATTAAAAAAGATATAATAATTATTATATAATTCAGATATTCCTCTGACTTCTCTATTGAGCATGATTACTGTTGCTGAAAGAAGGCAGATTTCCTGACTAATGTCCTTTCTCCACTCCAGAGACTCATCTTCTGCCTAAACGTCTCCCAGAAATACGCCAACGTTCTACACAGGACGTCTCAGGACTCCTATAGATAGTGTAGAGGGGCTGAACTAAACCTAAGATTATTCATATGTTGATTGAAGAGATGACTTATCTTACTGTACTCCGAGGTAGGAAAATATCAGGGAAGCCTTTTGCAGAATGTCTCCTTAAGATTACCTGCCAATTGGGTAATGAAATTAGCTATCTATATTGAATACCTTGGTATGAATATTCAACTAAGTATATATGCAACATATTCACTAAACACCAACACAAAATAAACAAGCTAACATAAAATAATGCCGAAGAGTCAGTTCCAACTCATAGCAACCCTCCATTTAGTTGTCTAGACTGGAAGAACACAGCCTATGAAGGTGATCTTTCAGTTAGCAGTGTAAAAGAAAGGTCAGTTGAACTCAACTCATTGCTGTTGAGTCAGAACCAAATAAAAAATGGTCCTCCAATGGGTTTTCAGAGGCTATGAATTAGACAGGAGATTGCCTTCCCCCCCCCCCCCCCCGAGGAACAGGTGGTGGGTTCCAACTGCCTGCATTTGAATTCACAGCATAAAACTCTTTACTCACCAGGCCACCAAAACTCAAGGATGAGTTGGATAAAATAACAAAGTTAAGTTGACTTGCAGAAACTAAGGGTGTTAATGGTGAAAATATATACATCCGTCAAATGGGTAAAATATTATCTCAGTACAGTTTTAAAGTAATAGAAAACACTTTCGTTTACTGACACTGAATGGTCCAAAGACATTTATTTTACTGACAGATACTTAGACTTTTTGAAAGCCCAAATTGAGTAGCAGAGACAGTTACTCTCATGGATGGACTAGATCAAGTTTTTATCATAGTATCAAAAAACAAAAAAGTCAAAAGTGAGTTAAGTAAAGTCAGAGGTAAATGTGCACCTAATTTCCTTATCAAATTATAAATTACTATAATTTCACAATTGAGTCAAAGAAATCTAGGAGCTTTGCCAGATCCTAGACAAAACTAACATGGGCCAAACTGGATTGGATTGGAATCAAACATGAAACTTAAAATCAAAACAAAACTAAAAAGCACAAAAAAAATCCCACCTCATTGCACTAGAGTCAGTTCTGACTCACTCTGGGGCTGTTTCTGAGACTAGACTGATGGAAGAAGACTGTCCATCTCTCTCCTGGCATCTACTGGTCCATTCAATCCACTGAAGATATGCAATCTTTGGGTTAGTAGTGGCATTTGTTCTCAGACTTGCAGAAGGAAGCAAATTGGAAAGTTCAACTACCAGATATGTTGTTGTTTGTTGTTGTAAGAAGCCTTTGGGTCAACTACAACCCATGATGACCCTATGAACAGCAAATAAGAACGTGTACATAGTAGAATATGGTGATGATGTGTTGAAGTACACACTTATTTATGTCCTTACCTTCTTCCTACCTTGCTATAGCTATGCAATACCAAGCCATTAAAATTAATATTATTTTCTCAATAGTATATTATATACAGACATAATTGCACATTTTAGCCTAATTCTTAGTTTGTTGTTGTTGTATACCCTAGCATTGGAACCAACTCATCGTTGTCCCTCCAATGGTCTTTCAGAGGCAATTAATTGCATAAGGGGAGATTGCCCATCCTTCTCCCATGGACACTTATTGTTAATTATAAAAACTTCCAAAGAAAATTACCGTAGTCTTTAAGAGTAGTAACTAGTACAGTTCTTATTACCATGCCAATGATAATCATACTTTTTAGTTGATTACATACCCTTCAGAACATGTGTAAACAACTTTTGCTCCGTACTCAAATTCATTTCTTACTGTGAGCTTGAAAGAACCAAAAGGAGTATCTCCAGGATGTCCACAGGGTTTTCCTACAATGAAAAAAAAATTTTAAATATAAAATATGCAATTAAAAAACCCTTACATGTTATATAATAGTTTGAGGACCAAATTAAAAATAAGTCTCACTGCCATCAAACAATTCCAACTTACATCTATCCTCTATCAGGTTACCAAGGCTGTAAAACATTACAGAAAACTATTTATCTTCTCCCTCAGAGCTGGTGGCTTCAAATGGCCTACTTCTCAGAAACCTAACACATCAAGCTATCAGGGCTCCACCATTTGGAGACAAAGGTCCTTAATTCTGCATTAGAGGACAGTAGTGAAATTCAGAAAAGTTGTTTTAAAAAAGATGTCAAAATTATTCTTTTATAATTATTTGTGTTTGCTTTTGACTTTTAAAAGATCATAACACTTAATCTTTCACTAAAACAAAAAAATGAAATAACAATATAGTTTTGCATTTAAATGACAATACTAATATAATTCAACCAGTAATGCTGCAATATCAAATTACTCATATTTTCACATTAGTTTGAAGTACTCACTCTGGCATATCCTGGATGGATTCAGAGATACCCATTCTCCATTGCTGCATATCCTTGCAATTGTTCCAAGAGTTCTAAATCCAGGACGGCATTTATAAGTTGCCCGAGTACCTTCTGTATATGTTTCGCCATTCCAGGAACCCTGCAAAATTTCTGTATCTTTTCTTGGAGGAGGTTCTTGACAATCTATAAAAATAAAGCCAAAAAATTATTATTCACTTTAATGACAAATATACAGTATATTTAAGACCATTTTGCTTTTAAAATAAATCATATATTTTATTTAAATTTTATATTTAATATATACAAAACAGTAACAGGTCCTACCCAACTACATATGTCAGGATAAAAAATGTTCAATTTTATGAAAGTTGAATATGCTTAATTTTATATAAATTTTCCCTATGTAAGAATAATAGAGGTTTTTCCCTAGGACCATAAATATACTTAAAATATATATTTATTCAATGTAGTGTACTATTTGTTCATTAGTTAAGGATATATTTATTAAGCACTGTTCTATGGTGCTAGGAATAAAATTAATTTCTTCTTGAGACATTCAAAAGGAAATAGCCTTTTTTGTCTAGAAAGACTAGCAAAAATAAATAAATAAAGAGAACAATAATAAAAATGGGACAAATGGACAAAGCATATGAACAATAATTTCCCCCAAAAGAAATCCATGAAATAGAGTTGTAAAACTTGAAGAAAACTAATAGTAAAAGTTAAAAGGACAGTAAAAAAGACCAAAAAAAATCCCCTTGACATTGGTAAAAATTAATCATCTGGTGTGAAAACCAATGTAGTCAAGTTTTATAAACTAACTAACATAATTTAAAAAGAAATTAAAAGACAAAAAAATGTAAATGTCAAAGTTATTCTACCTTTGGAAAGAACGCAGAACATTATATGAGATGGTAAATTGGGATCACTCTATCAAAAAAGTTCAGCAACTGACAGCAAAGTTGAAAATATAAAATGTCCATTGTTGTTGTTGTTATGTGCCGTCGGGGCGTTTCCGACTCATAGCGACGCTATGCACAACAGCCCTAAACCCTGCGCCAACCACACCACCTCTGACACACCCATCCCTATTACCCCAGTCACCGAATCAATCCATCTCATAGAGGGTCTTCCCCTCCTGCGTTGTCCCTCAACCCTCCCAAGCATGATGTCCCTCTCCAAGGACCCGTCCCTCTGCCCAAAGTATGTCAGACGAAGCCCCAGAATCCTTGCCTCCAAGGAGTAGCCTGGTTTAATCCTCTCCAAGATGAATCTGTTTGTTTTCCTGGCAGTCCATGGTACATTCAGTACCCTTCTCCAGCACCACAGCTCAAAAGCATGCACTCTCCTTCTGTCCTCCCTAGTCATTGTCCAACTCTCTGATGCATAACAAGCGATTGCAAAGACCATGGCCTGTATCAGGCGCACCTTAGTCTCCAGAGAGACACTGTTGCTCCTGAGTACTTTAGAGAGTTCCCTAACAGCAGACTTTCCCATCGCGATACGCTTTTTGATTTCCTGACTGCTGGTGCCAAGAGTGTTGACTGTGGAGCCAAGCAAACTGAAGCTGTGAACAATCTCAATCTCTTCGTCATCCATCCTGACGCTGCCAATTGGTCCAGTGGCGAGAATCTTTGTCTTCTTGACATTGAGCCTCAGTCCATACTGAAGGCTGCAGTCCTTGACCCTTCGCAGCAAGTGCATGAGGTCCTCCTCAGTTTCAGCAAGCAGGGTTGTGTCATCTACATAACGGAGATTGTTAATAGACCTTCCACCAATCCTGATGCCACAATTCTCCTCATAGAGCCCAGCCTCCCATTACTTAGTAATTTTATTTGTATTTTATTCACTTTTCTATATTCATATTGAAGAAGACTCTCTGCAAGATGGATTGACACAGTGGTTACTACCATGAGTTTGAGCATGACAGAGATTGAGAGCATGCTACAGGGTAGGGCATTCATTTCTTTTGCAGGGTGTTATTTGTTTTAATTGCCCTTAGGACAGCTACCAACAAGAATAATTACTTCACATTGCAAATATTAAGGCAACAGAATCTACTTATATAGTTTAAGCTTAATTCTTATTTAAAAGAAAAATTTACATGTAATGAGAATATTGCCCAGGAAATTAAGATCATGCCTACTTATATCATTTTTATTATTTTACTTTTTCTTCTTAGGTAAATTAGACATAAATGAATGTAATTGAGGCTATCTTTATTATTAGAAAGGTTATTTTTTTATTAGTTTATTTACAAAATTCTAGTACAAATTCAAACAAATTCTTTCAATTTCCCTCATCCCTCCACCCATCAAATTGTACAACCCAATGATTAATTCCCTCTTTCCCCTGCACATCCACATCCCTCTGCTTCCAGCCTCTCTCGCCCCTTCTCATCCTTATACTCATTCTACAATAACAGTTTTATACAATATTAATCTTTGTGGGACTGAGTTAGTTCACTCAGCATAATGCTCTCCAGTCCCTCCCGAGTTAGGTAATAATTTACAAAGTCATTGCTCCTGTGTGCTACATAGTATTGTAAATTTAGACATAAATGAATGTAAATGAGGCTATCTTTATTACTAGAATGATCATTTCTTTTAAAGGATGGGTTTTTTAAATAAACAACAACAGCATTATCTAATATAGCCCTAATCTATTACTTTAAAAAATGGTGTATATTCTAAGATATTTGACATAGTAGACAGTTATTAAGTTATTATTTACACTATAAACTTCCTTTTTCTACTTAGTTTTTTTATAATAGTGATTTAATTTTGTTCTAAAAATTCTTCCCAAAAGATGGTGTAAAAGGAGTAGAAGAAAGGTGAGGGTGGCCAAATCTGACTTTTACCCACTTCATAAAGAGTAACTATCCCCATCAATAACACCCATAGACCACAATAACTACAAGGTCAGACATGCCATACACCATGATTCTCCACCTTTTTCTACCGATCATTAGGACATTCATTTCAAGACTCATAGACTCTATTCACAGTAGTAGGGTTATTAGGGAAACAGGTCCTAGAGTGGGGATAGCAAAGAATATCACACAAGTCCAGGTTTCATCCAGAAGTCCCCAGCCACGTTTATAAGGCACAGTTTCTCAATTAATTATTATTAATCATTGGGTTGTCCAGATTCAGTTCAACAGCACAAATGCAAGAAGTTTCTAGCTTCCTCAATCACTCAGCAACATCTCAATCATCACAGAGCAGTTACAAGTCAGTGTTTCCTTCAATTACCCAGTAATCAAAACCTTTAACTGTGACCTTCATCTCAGAGCAGTTAAGTCAGCTTTTTCTTCAATCATCAGCAAGTAAAACTTTTAACTCTGGCTTTTATCTCTAGAGTTCCTCTAGTTATACCTTGCCATTCTATTCACAGCATTAACACAATCTCACCACCACCACCATTTTTCACAAAGTGGGAAATGCTCTTTTTGGCCCCATGGCTCTTGACCTGTTGATGATTTGCAAGACATATGTCCACAGTTAAAGTAGCTGGAAATTATGGGGAGTCAATACAATGGCCAGGAAAGTCAATTTTCAAGGGCTGTAACACCCCACTGAGAAAGAATTTCATAAATGAGATCAAGGCAGGTTTAGTAAATAACAAAGATAGACAGACACAAAGGATGAAAGTGGGTCTACCTTGTGAGAGAAGAGATTAATTTAATGTTCTTTCTTATGGATAAGTTTTCCAAGATTTCTCTATAAAGGAAGTTTATTTAAATAATATTTTATTCAATAAACAGCATTCATGTGGGCTTTGTTATACAGTAATTTCATTTAGGAGTGCCTGAAAATTTTACCACATTTATATTAAATAATGGCCTAGTGGTAAGAAGTTGCATTGCAATCCCAAAGGAAAGAG